AGGCAGGACCCCGGGTTGTGCCAGTGTCGGGAGGACAGAACCAGAATTTGGGTTGGCAGAGGGGCGGGGCCGGGGAAAATCTGGTGCTGACAGCAGGCAGTCAGCTCGGGCTGGGTCCCTGCTGTGTTATTCATCACCTGCCCCCCTCCCGCCACGTCCCCCCCCTCCCCGCCCCACTGACCCCGCCCAGAGAGACCAGCAGGGCAGCTCTGAGAGTTCTGCTGCGTCTGGGAGCCCCGGGTGCACACCCTGGCCTCGCCCTGCAGCTGGCCGAGCCCAGCACGCCTCAGACTCATCCAGGCCCTCCTTTCTGGCCTCCGTGCCCAGCCCCTTTCTGCCTCTCTCCTCCCACTGCCAGGGCTCCCCCGCAGCTCCTTCCAGAGCAGAGCAGGCTGGTGCAATGGGCACAGGCCTGCCCTCTGGCCCCAGCCCTCAGGCACAGGGGATCCACGATCACATGCTCTGATCCTCTAATTGGGGTGCTTGCCAATGGGCTGGGGGAGTGGCCTCTGCTGTCCCCACCCTCCCCCCATCCTTCACTTCCCCACCCACGGCTGGGAGCCTCTCTGGGCACCCCCCACCTTCCAGGCGCAGTGGCCGCAGCTGGTACGGAGGGTGGCACACCGTCACACAGCAGTCAGGCTGGGGGTCTGTCCCACTCCTGGCCCTGGTACCCCGAGAGGGCGGTGAGGGTCCAGGATTCTGGAAGGAGTCACTGCAGGGTTTCCGTGAGGCGTGGTTTACCCAGATCCTCGTGACGATGACTCCCTGGATGGGCTTTTCCTGAGGTGTCCAGCACAGGGCAGGGGCCGAACAAATTCTGACTCCCTGATGTCAGTTTCCCTTAGGGAGCGAGAAAGGCAGGTTCTCGGTGCTCCGGTGGAAGCCCAGGGAGACGGGTGGGGGCTGCGTGTGTTTTGAGGGTGTCCCTGCCGCAGGAGCTGACGACAAAGGTCCTCAGAGAAAGGCAAAGGCTTGGCCAGGCTGCCCTGAGCCCCAATTACTCAAAAGATCTGGGAAGGGTGTGGGATGTGGCCTTGCTCCAGAACAAGACATGGGTTCAGTTCAACCAAATCAACATTTATTGAGCACCTTATGTGTACCAGTCATGTGGACAGTGAGGAAACAGAAATGAATATGACACTTCCCTTCCCTCCGGCTGCTCAAGGTCCCATAGCCACATGAATACGATGGCGTGAGACCAGGGTGACAGTATAGGCACCAGGCACAGAGGGCCCCAGGAGGGGACTGAATTTGGCCAGGAGATTCCCCCACAGGGATGGATGGGACTGACAAGTGGTGGGAAGACAGGAGGCGGGAGTGTCTCGTCACCCCGCGTTTAAGGCCTTTTAATGGCCTCTCATTACTCTTAGAATAAAATCTGAACCCGAGTCTAGAAGACCCAGCGAGACCCTGCACTGATACAGGCCGCCAGCCACCCGTGGCCATGGAGCACCTGAAATACGGCCGATGCGTCTGAAGAACTGAACTTTCACTTCACATAATGTGAAGTGATTCAAATGGCCAGCCCAGACCTGGGACGTTTGCATCGTCGCAGGAAGCTGCACAGGACAGCGCAGCCTGCGTGTCCACCCCCTCTCTCCTGGTCTGTCAGTTCCAAGGACATGCCATGTTCGTGGCTTGTGCACTCGCTGTCCCCTCTGCCTGGAGCGCCGTCCCCTGCTCCTGAGATGGGCAGCCACCCTCCCGCTTCAGCTCTCGGCCCACCCAGCACGCTCTGCCCACTGTGGCTAGAGTTGTCCCTCTCTGTCTTCTGTCCTAGCCTCTCACTTGTTTTCTTCACAGCGTTTAGTATAATTTGCAATCATCTTGCCTGCTCATTGACGAGTTTACTCTCTGTCGATGCCTTTAGAACGCAAGCTTTGTGAGAGCAAGATCTGGTCTTTTCCATCACTGCGTCCCCGGGGGCGGTGTGATGTCCAGCCAGCTAGGCGCTGGATACATGTTAAGTAAGCGCTGACAGAGAGCGCCCCGCGGAGAGGGAATCGCGTATGTGCAAAGGCACCGGGGCAAGCTTCAGCGTGGGCCAAGGGCTGGCAGGGAAATGGAATGATAAGGGGAGAAGAGACAGAAGCTATTTAGGGATGGGTGGGGCAGTGAGGGTTCATCAGGGAAGGGTACAAGGTTCCTGAGTGAGGCAGTCGTGGAGGAGGCTGCCACCTGACCAGGGGATCCCAGCCAGATGAGGCCTGATGACAGGGAGCTGGCCCGGAAGTTCGAAGGTGCCTGAAACAGAGGTCAGCTGCAGAAGGACTGGGCTGAATAAGGGGGGGCCGTCCTAGCAAGCACAGGGGTTCAGAAAGGAAGGTGACCTCTCCCAGTATCCTGGGGGTGCTCACATCAGCTCGGGATTCAGCTGGAAGTGGTCCCCTCACCCGGGAGGCTGAAACTGAGCAAGGAGAACCTTCAGCCCAGATACCCTTCGAAGCGGCAGGAGCCCTGGAGACCTCCTCTCAGCCTGCACTGTCCCAGCCCTCCCCTCTGGCGCAGCCCTCCCCTCCTCCCCCCTTCTCTAGAAGGTAAGCTCCATAAGGACACAAACCTCATCTTCACCACTGTATCCTCAGTGCCTGGGACAGGACCCGCCACATAGTAGATGCTCAGTAAATACTTGTTGAATAACTGAATCCATATTCCACTTGTTAGTGCACATTGAGGTCACAGGATGTGAAGTCTGGGAGCCTTGAGTGTTGAGAGTGAAATCTAGGTCGCATTTAATGCTCTTCTTCTAGGACAGGCAGCAAAGAGGATTAGAAGCCCATCCATACTCATTGCTTCAAGGGTGACAATTTTCTCGTCTTGTTTCAGAATCAAGTCAAAATTAACTTCTTTCAGGAGGCTTTCCCCAGACCACCCCCACACCTTCCAAGCTCAAATTAACTCACGCTCATTAGAATTTTTTTTACCGTCTAAATATATGTTCTGACAGTCATCTGAAAGCATGTCATTTAAGAGTGCAGGTCATGTGAGCATGCCGCCTCGACATCTTTTCTTCACGTTAGGGGTGTCATCCTCTTTTCTGGTTGATTTCTGATACGGGGCCCCACGTGGGGTGGGACTCAGGCAGGCAGAAAAGAGAGAGGTTATGGGAACAGCTTTGGCCTGGCTCAAACCGACACTTGAGCCTCAGAGCCATCCTTCCAGCCCCGCACCGCCCTCCCCCTGACCCAGGCGTGTGACTTGACTGCCCCGTCTTCTGCTTCTCCTCCCAGTCCTTGGAAGGACCTGATTCAAGATTCTCCTGCTCTACACATCCATGCAATTTTGACATCAGAATTACGGAGTGTCGGGACTAGAGTGGATTTTAGGGGCCATCCCTTCACAGATCTGATGCCAGGGTGGAGGAAGGGACTTGTCGAACGCCGTGAAGCTAGTCAGGAACACAACTGGAACTGGAACCCAGCTGGCCTGGCTTTCATGCCGTGGGACGGAAATGGATGCTGTTCGACGACTGATCCATAAACCCACTGCTTGTCACAGGGAAACGGGCACTGCCATTGAGTGCCAGCCTCTGGATCCAGGCTGCCTGTGCTCAAGGGCCTTGTCTCTGCCCACTGCCGGCGGGGTGGCCTCGCTGAACCCCAATTTCCTCATCTGAAAAAAAAGGATGATGGCGTGGTACCCATCTCATGGAATCATCGTAAGGATTCATATGGCATGGTCCGTATAAAAAGCTCAGAGCCGTGCCTGGTTTGTAGGTCTGGTGCTGGGAGCATAGTAAGTGTTGGCTACTGCTACCAATGTATCAAAATAATAGAAAAGTAGCTAGAAAAACTGGACTTTATACCTGGAAGCAATTTTTTTTTTTTTTTTTTTGAGACAGAGTCTCACTCTGTTGCCCTGGCTAGAGTGAGTGCCGTGGCGTCATCCTAGCTCACAGCAACCTCAGACTCCTGGGCTCAAGCAATCCTACTGCCTCAGCCTCCCGAGGAGCTGGGACTACAGGCATGAGCCACCATGCCTGGCTAATTTTTTCTATATATTTTTAGTTGTCCGATTAATTTCTTTCTGTTTTTTTAGTAGAGATGGGGGTCTCGCTCTTGCTCAGTCTGGAACTCCTGAGCTCAAACAATCCGCCCGCCTCGGCCTCCCAGAGTGCTTGGATTACAGGCGTGAGCCACCGCGCCCGGCCTGGAAGCAATTTTAAAGGTAATCGGTTTCAGCTTCGGTGGACTTGTCTTTTATAGGAATATGGGCTACTCCAAACACCTCCTTCAGGGCCCTTCTACATCCTGGAAGGTAACAAAATCATCATTATTTAAAGACTTAATTAACATTTATTATAGCTAGTATATTAGGTTTTAGATAGGCCAAATATGTGCTACAATGGAGTTGTATTTTTTATATGCTGTCGTGTATACTTTATAGTACATTGGGGCCCTTATATAATCGGTGTGCACTGTACTTTAATGCCCATTTTACAGGACTTTTATAAGGGAGGCCGGAGAGTGTGGTGCAACGAGCACTGGACCAGGAGTCCCCAGGCCTGGTTAGAATGGAGGTTTTTCCACACAGTCCCTGGGGAGCTGCGGGCAGACCGCTTCCCCTCCTCACCAGTGACATTGGCAGCTTGGCCGGATGAAGTCCAAGGCTCTGTCCAGACCTGGCAGTCTAGGGCTGAAAGCAGAATGGTATAATCTTAAGCGATGAGAGAAGTTCACAGGTGTTTTGTATCTACCTGTGACACATTTTTGGTCACATCTCTGGTAGGAACACAACCCTCAGTTATCAAACTGTTTCTGTTAGAAACTATGATCTGCCTTATGATGACATAGTGTGCATGTGGCTACCAGGAATGCCTTCTGGGGAAATCCTGGGGCTCCCAGCATAGAACACCCGTTTCTCAGGAAGGGAGCGAGTGAGTGACCTTCACACCATCCCCGAAATGGTCGCTGCATTTTCTTGATCTTTCCTCGACATATGATTTCAACAAGCACAGATTTCTAATTGTCCCTTCCTCTGCAGATTAGAAGGGCAAACAAGATGCGAGGTGTGTGAGCATTTATGTAGATGACAGCAAGAGTGACGTTGGTGATGGCGTCACGCAGCTGGTGGAGCCCCAGAAACTAAGAAGCCGACCGGCCTGCAGGACGACACAGTTCAGGAATGGGCGTCCAGAATGCGAAGCCAGCGTCGTCGCGGAGTCCGGCACGTAGGTTCAGCATCGTTTGCTTTAGGAGGCAAGGCAGAAGGCTGTGCCTTTTGGAAAGATTTCCATCAAAGGACGTATTTTTAAAAATACTCGGCTCTTGTTGCACTCCAGATTCACTGCTGTGGATTTGTGAATTCACATGCGTCCCCAGGGGCGAGAGTGCATAGAGGAGGATGCGCACTCCGGTCCTCACTAGTCCACGGTGGAGTCACTTCAGGGGCGAGACAGCTCTCCTGTTTTTCAGTAAGGATCTGCGTAGGAGTCAAGCTAGACTTAATTTACCTTAAGTAAATTAAGGTAAACTAATTTTACCTTACCTTTACAGCTGTCATTCATTCATTCATTTAAAAATATTTTAAGGCCGGGCGCGGTGGCTCACGCCTGTAATCCTAGCACTCTGGGAGGCCGAGGCGGGCGGATCATTTGAGCTCAGGAGTTCGAGACCAGCCTGAGCAAGAGCGAGACCCCCTCTCTACCAAAAATAGAAAGAAATGAATTGGACAGCTAAAAATATATAGAAAAAATTAGCCAGGCATGGTGGCACATGCCTGTAGTCCCAGCTACTCGGGAGGCTGAGGCAGGAGGATCGCTTGAGTCCAGGAGTTTGAGGTTGCTGTGAGCTAGGCTGACGCCACGGCACTCTAGCCCGGGCAACAGAGCTAGACTGTGTCTTGAAAAAATAAAAATAAAAATATTTTAATTTTTTCCTGAGTGCCTAATATATGCCAGGCATTGTTTTGAGAGGACGTACGTACGCAGTTTCAGACAGAATCCACTGTTCATGTGGTTCTACCAGAGCATACCCACAAATGACAGGTGTACTGCTTTGTGGTTTTATATCTCCAGTCTGGCGCTTGGTATGGCCTTTCTGCCCCCACTGCCTTCAGACTGGAAGCTGACTTGGAGCAGAAGGGTTGTCCCCACGAGATCGAGCATTCCTTTTGGGCAGGAGCTGTGCTTCTGCCATCAGCCTGGGAGTCCCCGCGGGCTGAGCTGGTCTCTGCCATGGCCTCGGCACAGAAGGAGACGGGCGCCTGGCTCTCCTGGGCAGCCCGGGTCAAGAAAGACTCCTTTTTTCCTAGAGAGAAGCCTCCCTGGGCTCCTGAGCTGGGCGCATACTTTCTCTGTGAGCCGGCAGGAACAGGACAGAGGGGCGTCTCCCTGGGGCCCCAGGGCCTGCAACCTGTCTTGCTCACGGGGAGAGGGAAGGGAGAGAAAGGAAGCCAGGGAAGATGCAGAGCGTCTCACACTGGGGACTGGCGGCCCTGCCCCCCAAGAGCGCTGGCTCCCGCGGTGCCCTGCAGCTGCCTGTCTGAGCGCACAGCCCAGCGGAGTGGGTGGTGCAGGCGGGGTGGTATATCCTGTCTGACGGAGGGCGGGCCTCGCCAGTGCCCGACGAGCCAGGGTGGAGGCGCCAGGAGCAGCTGCCGGGAGCCCTCACGCGGACCACTCGCTCTATGGCCACAGGGCGCCGCTGAGAGCGAGAAGAGCCCGCTCCGCCGCCGCCGCCGCCGCCGCACCTCGCCGCCCTCCGCGCTCCCAGGCCCGGCCGCGCCTCCGCCACCATGAACCACTCTCCGCTCAAGACCGCCCTGGCGTACGAGTGCTTCCAGGACCAGGACAACTCCACGCTGGCTTTGCCGTCGGACCAAAAGATGAAGACAGGCACCTCGGGCCGGCAGCGCGTGCAGGAGCAGGTGATGATGACCGTCAAGCGGCAGAAGTCCAAGTCCTCGCAGTCGTCCACTCTGAGCCACTCCAACCGAGGTAAAGGCCGTGCGCGCCTTCCCAGCGTGCCTCGGCCCGGGGCGCATGCATCCTGGGGCCGCAGGGAAGCCAGGGGCTGCCAGCCCTGGGCAGGGCCTGCGATGAGTGGGAGCAGCCGAGCTCCTGGCCGGTTCCCACAGGGTGGAGCCGCGGGAAGCCCCACAAGGTCGACAACAACGGCGCGCTCCTGGGCAACGGTGGGTGGCTCCCTGGGGGACACTGCCAGGAGCATCTGTCCGGAGCCACAGGAGGCTGAGGATCTCCTGCCTGTGATCCTCCTGCCTGCCCAGAGCCCTGGGTCTGGACGGCTTTCTCTTTCCCATCCTGCTCCGGGGGTCAGTCCCGTGTGCTGTCTTGCCGGGCTGTCCTGGCGGCCATGGTTCCAGCACTCCCCGGGGGTTGTGTGCCACCCACCGTCCCTCCTGGGCTTCCAATCCCTGTACGTTCAGCCCCAGCCAGTGCCTAGCACCCAGGCCCGGGGGATCCCAGGCCCGGTGGGGCTGGGTGAGGATGTCACCGAGACCAAGGTGCTGGCTCAGGAAAGGCACTGCTGTGTGGGAGGTAGCACAGGGAGTGCGGACAAGTCCATGGCACTTACCAGGAGCTTCATGGGAAGAGGAGAGCCTGCTTGGAAGGTCACTGCAGGGCCAGTGAGCACCTTGAGATAGGGAAGGGGGTCAGGGATGTGCTTTGCCAAGCGTAGAAAACTCTCTTTCCCAAGCGTAGAAAACTCTCTTTCCCACGGCTTCTCCCTACCCAGCCAGCTTAAGTAGAAACAAGTGTCTTATGGGGACAGTAGAGAGTGAGAGTGGCAGGTTCCCCCAGGCTCAGGGAACGACTCAGCTGAGCCCCTCACTGGTACTTTTCCGGTCTGAGTGTGGGGAACAGATGCCTCCCACCGCCCTCTGTGACTGGGGGAGGCAGGATAAAGGGCTAGGACCCAGGAGACTCAAGGAGGAAGGAGCAGGAACTGACAGGGGCATTTGTGGAGACTTTTTAGACCCACTCTTTAGTACAAAGGAGTCCCAGCAAGAATGATGACGCGCAGTGAACAAACCTTCCGTTCGTTCGTGCTGCCCACTGCAAACCAGGTCAACTGAGATTAGGCCAGGCCCTTAGGAGAGGAGGAGGGGCCGGGATAATTGGGAGGAAGGAGACAAAGGAGACAGACCCCCGCCCATTCTACCGCCCCACACACCCCAGCTCGCACTTTCTACCTCTGCTGCTCCCCCCGTTCCTGAGTGGCCCCTGTGTAGAGCTGAGGGCGGGAAATGGCTGGTAGAGGACGTCCCGCGCCCCAGACCTAAAGGCCTTTGCTGTTCCGGGTGCCCTTTGCCCTGGTCTAGGCTCTGGCTCCTCTCCTGCCAGGTTTCCACTGAAGGTCATGCCGCCTCCAGAGCACTTGCCTCCTTCCCTTTCCTTTAGTGCCTTGGTAGCTGCTCGCTGGCTGCTTTGGAAGCAGCTTTGGATAACAGAGTGCCCCCATTTCTGGCTAGAGCCCCGGGCGCAGCTCAAGCCAACCTACTCTCTTCTCTACATAGGGCTCCCCTGTCCCATTCCCACTCCCAGTCCGTCCCAGTCTGAGGTCCTGGCTCATAGCTCCAGAAAGATCTCAAACTGGCTCTGGGTGCCCCAAACACCACTGATTCTTCCCACCTATTGGGCTGTTGGCTGAGTGTCTGTTTCTGGCCTTGGTCTTTGTGGGTAACATCTATCTGATGGGGTTTCCTTTGTTCCCTCTCTGTTTCTCCATCCCAAGATCCCCTGAGGGGCTTCAGGCAGGGGAGGGCTGCCCCTGATGGCTGACACATACCTCTGCAAGGAGGAGCCCTGTGGGTGTGTCCCCTCTACCCTCAGCCTCTGGGGAGGTTCCTGAAGGGGGCCAGTTTCCCCAGAGGCACCCTAGCTGGAAGAGGCAGTTGGGCCAGGTGGAGCTGGTGCTTCTGGTTTGTCTGGCTTTGTTTCCATCAGATTTCTCTGTCTTCGCCATCAGAAACGCCCAGGTGTTCCCTGTGTGCTCTGTGGCCACCTCCACTCACTCTGCTCCCTCTTTTTCATGGCGGTTTACATGTCATGAGTCTGCTTTGGTTCCTGGGAGGGAATGCGTTGGAAGGACCCTGCCCCGGGCCTTTTCTCGCCCCCTGGACAGACTCAAATTCTCCTTTAGTCCCCTCCCAGAGCAAAGAGTCGGTTTCTCTGGGTCTTTGATCTTCCTGTGGCTCCTGAGTCCCGTCACCGCTCCCAGTTAAGAAACCCTGCTCTGAACAAATCCAGCCACACCCACGGATTGCCTGGCGGAGTGGCCTCTGCTCCTTGTACCCCAGGAAGGACAGTCAGGACCAGCCACCATGATCCTGGTGCTAGACCCAGCTTTCCTCAGAGTCCTCTCCACTAGGGCTCTTTTACGTCTTGTCGGTGAGGGGGACTTGAGCCACTGAGGGCTGAAGGACCCCCATGGAAGGAGCCTGGAGCCAAATCCCTGTCCACCCAAGCCCTCCCTGAAATGGCAGATCAGACACACACCTTGCCCTGGTCATGAAGTCCCCAAGGAGGAAGAAGAGGGTCTCTTTGGCCTAGAGACCCTGCAGAAGGAGGTTGCTCTGAGTCTGCCTGCCCCTCCACACACACACACACACACCGTGCTTTCGGGACGTGCCTGTGTGGACCAGGTGCTCTTCCCAGACTGTGTGGGACGCAAGAGGAAACGCAGGGGGATGTCCTGTTCAGCAGCGCTCTGTCCTGGGGAACCTTGACCTCCCTGAGGGTGGGAAAGGCCCTCCAGGGGTGGACAATGAGCTGCCCTGTGTAGGGTGGGCTGGCACCAACCTGAAAGGAAACACCTTCCACCTTCCAGATCTTTATAACTTCGCTTGGAATTTCTTCCTAAAGCTTAGCCTGAATCTCACTTGATCCGCCCCCAAGCGCCCCCCACCACCACTGTGAGCGCACATCACGCGTGAAGTTGAGTGAAAGTTGTCCCCTTTTTCTCATCACTTCCTCCAGGGAAACCCTGCAGACCAGCACCGTTGCCTGGTTTGCGTCTCCCGCCTGCTCAGGCGTCTGTGATTTCTTATTTCGGCCTTGGGCCCGAAGTTCTCCTTCTCCCCTCTTCTCAGAAGCATTGCTTCCCGTCTAAAATTGCCAAGCCTCTATTTCTCTCTGGTCAGAGGTAGGGGTCGAGGGCGACGCTGGCCCAGGGGTGGTTCCTGTGTCTGTTCTGGCCCCTGGGGGCGGGCTGGTGCCAGCCCCACCGTGAGCACAGTGAAGGGGCCGCCTTCGGTGCTTCTCCTGATTGTGCGTGGCTGTGTCTCGGCGTGGACTTCTGCGCGAGGGAATGTGCTGCTCATTCTACTCCCTCGAAGGCTGTCCTTTCCTGACCGCAGACATCGCTGCTGGGGTTGTTTTCTCGGGACCAAAGCTGAGCTGGGAGAAGGTAAAGGGTATTCGCGCTTTAGCTTGTTCCAGCAGCAGAGCGTACTAATTACACTTCAAATGCACCGATTCTTGTTTCTTTACAATGTATCTTGGCTTGAAGTTGTAGTTTTAGGCAGAATTTCCGTTGGCCTGTTGTAACACATGCAAACATGCTGAGTATTCCAGGGTGTTTCCCAGCAAATGCTATCTCCCTGCGTCCTGCTCCTTTGCTGAGCTCGTTGGCAGAGACTTTTTAAAAAATACAAATTCCTCTCCTCCACATACCAAATTGGAGGTATCAATACACCAATTGTTCTAGGTTTAAAGATCTGGAAAGTGCTTCTGCAATGGGCATGATCCCTAGCAGGTGTGTGATATTTGAACAAAATAAAGTGGAGGAATGCTGGGTATCTTCATGTGAAGTTCTCTGTAGGCACCACATCACACACACACACACACACACACACGCATGTGTGCACACATACACCCCACACATGAACACACCCACCCACACCTGTACACACACCCCCTCCACCTCGCAGCTTGTGCTGTAGCAGGAGCCCGGCCTCGCGTCTACCGCTGCCTGGTGTGTGATCTTGGACAAGTCACTACCTTTTTGTAGGTCTCTGCAACCGTCAGAGGTTGGATTAGATCATCTCTAAAGTGCTTTGTTATGGTAACGCTCTTGGGAAATAGATTTTGTTACTCCTTACCTCCCCGAACCACTGGCCGGGATCCCTTGGCCGCTGCAAAAAGGCGCTTCCCCTCGAGGCGTGCCTCATTGTGCTCATAAACAGCCTGATAGGCAAAGAAAAAGAATCTTCTAATCCACTGTTCTCAAACTTGGCTACACATTGGAATCACCTGGGAACTGTAAAAAATTCAAATACTTGGGTCCTGTCCCAGAGATTCTCAGTGAGTCAGTGTGGAGGACAGCTGGCGCCAGGACTTTAAGGACTCCCGGGCTACTCTGATGTGCACAGTTTGAGAACCACCGTCCTGGTCCCCCCTTTCACTCACATGCAGACCCGCATGGGGATCACACCCATATAGTGACATGCACACATCTGTCTGTCTGTCTGTCTCTCTCTCTCTCACACACACATACATGCACACCACACACAGAGACACCTCATGTTGGAGTTCCTGGTGAGGGTTTCTCACTCTGGACCCCGGCCAGATACTGAGCCCCATTCCAGCCCCCACTACCCTGCCCCTGTGCCCGTCCTGTCCCCACAGATGCCCCCATGCTCTACCCGGTCCTCAGATTTGGTGGCGGCCACAAACAGATCAGCAGCAGCAGCAGCAACAGGATTCCGGCAGAGCCGGAGGAGTCATGTGGGCTGCTGAGCTAGAAGAGAGAACACAGGCCACAGTAGCCCAATTTGTTTTGGCATTTCTGTTCTGTATGGATGCCCAGGAAGAGGTCAAGAACCACATCAAAGTGCCTGGTGAGGTTGTGCTGAACTCCTTGCCCTCCTCCGGCTCCTGGAGGCTCCAGAGTAGGGGAGGGAGGTCTCCAGTGCTCCCAGCAGTCCGGCGGAGGGCACGGCCATTGTCTTCCCTGAAGGCGTGAACCTCAGCCAGCCAGCAGACACAGCGCCCCCCGCCCACTCTTAGACGTCTCTGAGGATATCGTCTAAGAAGTATCTTCCTGGCAGTTCTTGTTATCTTGTTTAATTCCCTTTGCTATGGGCCTAGCGCCTTGGTGGGCACTGCAGGTGGAAGAAGGTTCAAGGGGTGAAGTAGAGGATTTTCAAGGCTGGCGGGTAGTGGGCTTCCTTTCTCTAGCTTTTCATACCGAGGGGCAGGTGTGCTCTTGTCGGGTGTAGAAGCTAGAAAGGACATCAGCCTTATCGAGACAGATTCAGCAAGAAATAATAAACCTCCCAAGCAGCTTGCCCTGTGACAGGTCCTCCTAACTAGCAAGAGAGGGATGCGGGTGGGGAGGGAGAGCAGAGAAAGGGGATTTCACATGACCTCTGTCCCGAGGGCAGCCTGTTGGTCAGGCGGAGCCTTCTCTGTGTAGAACCTGGTCCCGGCATTGGGGTGTGGGGTGCGGATCTAGCAGAAGTGGAGCTCCCTTGTTTCAGGGAGCTCCCGGCTTGGCTGGAGAGACCCAGGCCTTGCTTTCTGGGAGAAGGGTGCACAGGTGCACACCCTGCCCCCACCCCCCCCACACACACACACAGAGTGTGCAGAAGCCACACTCCGAGAAACGCCCGAGCCAGCGCAGAGTAAGTGTGGCACCTGGGCAGAGTGCTGACGTGGTTATGCTGAGGCTCGGGGTGCCCAGGGCTGGGTGGGGTGGATTTTAAGAGAAGCTGACTTTTGTGCAAGGTTTTGAGTGCAGGGGGAGGGTTCGAGAAGAAGAGAAAGAACGTTTCAGGTGCAGTGGGCGTGCCCTATTTGAGAGCTGGAGGTGGAAGGGGTGAGTCACCTGCGAAGGTTTGCTGCCCCGCTGGAGAGAGCAGGCCACGTGTCCTACAGGAGGAGCTGCCTCCGTTTTCAAAGGTTCTGTAGGTAGAAAGCTTGGGTCGCGCTGATGACACAGAGGGAATCAGCCGGTCGTGTCTAAGGCACCAAAGGGCGGCAGCACGTCAGGACGCCGATCGTCTGAGTGGTGGTTTCCGAGACTGTTTTACCTCTGACAAGCGATGCAGACAGAGCCGCTGCTGTTGCTTGTGTCCTAGGGAGAGCAATCTGTGCTCTGAGATGTTTGCCCTCTGACCCCGGGGTGCCGTGGCTGGGCAGACGCCTCCTGAGAATCGGCTGCCAGCGTCGCCGAGGAGCCACCTTTGCTCATGACGCACGCGCCCATCTGGGGAGAGCAGTGGGAAGGCAGATGCGTGGCTGGAGGATGGGGTGACTCTGTGGGGTGAGCTGGGTACCAGGACCCCTCCCCTCCCCCCCGGCACCTTGGGTTTGCCCCATCCACCCACCAGGGACCTCTTTGGGTGGGAGGAGGGCCTGGATGAGCAGCATTCAAGGACGCTGACCCCAGCCTGCAACAACGTGGGCACGGAGCCTCCGGGCACCAGGCACCAGAGCGCCTGCGCCACAGGGGCTGGGCAGGGGACAAGAGCTCGTCGACAAAAAGGGCCGGCTCCGGCCGGTTAGGCCCAGCCCCAGCCGGAGCAGCGCCCTGTGCCCAGGTCCCAAGGAAGAAGAGACATGACTGGTGCTTCAGAGAGTGCCCGAAGTCCGTGGTGGTGGGGACTGGCGCAGGCATGGGAGGGAGATGGGACCAGGTGTCATGCATCAGGAAAGGCTTGCTAGAAGTGAGTTCTAGAAACGTCCAGGACCAGGTGGAAAAGTAAGCTATCGCTTCTCATTAGAAGCCCCATGTTCTTGCTGTTGAACTCGACTTTTACAGCAGTGGTCCCCAACCTTTTTGGCACCAGGGACCGGCTTCATGGAAGACAATTTTTCCACGGCCTGGGTATGGATGCGGGGGTGGGGTGCGCTCAGACAGTGATGCGCAGCCTGGTTCCTAACAGGCTGAGGACTAGGGGTTGTGGACCACAGCTTTACAGGACATTGCTGACCAGACAGACACCCCGGGGTCAGGAGAGGGGGACAGCAGTTCTGTTGTGGGAGCAGCACTCTTACAGACAGAGCTCACCTGCCACCTGCACCCCTTGGTTATCTGGGACACTGCAAGGTGTGACTTGAGTGGTGTGACTTCAGCTTTGTGACAGTTCTGGACTCCTATTCTCCCTTGCCACCTCCATCCTGCCCTGAGTGCTGCTACCTTCTGCCAGAGCAGCTGTGCAGGCTGGCGTGATGGCAGCCTCGCTCTCACAGGAGTCGGGGAGACCCCCAACTGCAGATGTCTCTTAGGGGATGCCTTCGGAAGCTGCCTGGAGGGGCCTGGAGGCCTTGGCCCAACCAGAAGTGAGAGTGACAGCTCACACCTGTCTTCACCAGAGTCACTGCTGGGACACGGGGACTGGCTTTGGGAATTCCACCTCTACCTCTGTGTGTCCATGGGTCCACCCCTGCTTCCATGGTAGAGAGGCCCCCACCTTCAGAGGGAGAAGAGTGGGTGAGAGGAAGGTGGGCAGGTGCAGGGCATGGAGGGAGCAGATGCTTCGTCTGACGACCCAGAGGGACAGTGCCCATGCTGGCAGATTCCCTCCTGGAAGGCATGGAGGCCAAGATGGGAGCCCCCCTCCCCCAAGCCTCTCCTAGCAGGAGTCCTCCCTGCCTGTCACCACCCCCGATCTTCCACCCAAAGCAGCTGGCTGACCCCATCTGCCCTTTAGTGACATCTGCCTGCTCACAAGGCAAGAGCCAAACAAACGCCGGCCTGCTGAGCCTTGGAAGGGATGATGGGAGTGGGCTGGACAAAAGGGAGGTGGGCGAGACCCGGCGTAGGCCACCAAAAGTCCTGACCATGCACGTGCCTGGCTGCAGCCCCCTTCCCTGCTGAGCACCAGCCTGAGTGGCTGAGCCCACGGGATTGCCTCCAGCCTCCGCCTCGCAAGGCGGTCTTTCCCAAGGAGCAGCCGCCGAGGGAGGGGAGGGACGAGCTGCTGCACTCAACAGGGAGCTTGGAGGAAGTCAGAGGCTCAATGGGCCACGTCCCAGCATCTCAGGATGTCACTCACGGGGGGAGGCCCTTCCAGAGTTGGGCCTGGGCCTGGAGCACGGGGGAGGCCTCTGGGAGGACCCCGAGGCAGGTGGCAAAGGTGTAGCCTTTGATGTCTGTCCTTCCTCCTCTCCTCGTAAGTGGACCTCTACCTCTGGAGGACAGGAGTCGGGCTTCTCGGAATGCCGTCAGGCATGTGTCACTATAGTCACACCACCGTGGAACGTTGGAATTGTATGGGGCCTTTGGGGTGTATAGAGGCCACCACCCTCTTTTGACTGAAGAGGAAGCTGAGGCCAAGAGAGAAAGAGTGGCTTGCCCACGTGTCAGAGCCAGGACCAATTTCGGCACCTCCAGGCTCCCAGGACAGGTTGTGTCTGCCATAGCCCGAGAGCCCTCATGTCCAGGTGGTCCTCCCCACCAGGGTGGGGGCAGGGAATTGGGCAGTGCCCTGTGCTGTGGGATATGGTGGTCATCTGGCACGGGACGGAGGAGATGGCACCAGGCAGCGATGCCTGCCTCCTTCCAAAGCTGCCCCTCTGCTCTTCCCTCTACTCCCAGCTCAGATATTTCAGCCCCCAAGGGAAAGGCCGGGGAGTCTGAGTGGGTGTGGCGGATGGGGAGGAGCTAGTTTAGCCAGGCGAGATCACCGTCAAACCCTTTTCCCCTAGAAGGGGTTTCTGATGGGGGAGTCTGACCATCGCGTTAGAGAAAAGGAGCGCATCCCTCTTGGGACGTTCTCCCTGGAACCCACCTACCTTCATTCCCAGAGGCCGTCATGTAACAAGAGTATGGGGCAGGCCTTGCTCTGCGTGTCCAGGCCACGGAGCCAGGGCTTGCCCTTGTGGAGCTCACTGGGCAGCCAAGGGAATGGGACACCAAGCAAAATGAGACTTTGGCTACAGAGGTCAGGACAGTATGTGTTTAGAGGAGGGAGAGATTGCCTTGAGCAGGGCTGATCAGAAAGGGCTTCCTGGAGGAGGTGGCGTCTTGAGCTTGGCTTGGAGAGATGTGTGAGATTCTATAATTGTGGCAGAGGAGGGAAGGCAGATTCGGCAAGGACAGTGGTGTGAGCAAAGTCATGAGCATGTTGCCTTTGGCCATGTTTCAAAGACACGAGGACAGCGAACAGACCAGCTTGCTCAGAGTTGAGGCTGTTCCTTAGCGCCCCCCTGCCATTGGTGAAAGGGAGAGGAGGGGGGTGGCCCCCCCGGGGGCCCAAATTCCATTCTGCTTTCTGTGATTCAAAGCCACTGTGCCACTAATAACCCTAATGACACTCTGTTTTCCCATGGAGCCTGTCATTTGTGGGTCTCCGAGCACTCCAAAAACATTAATTAATCCTCACCGGGCCTTTGAGGTTGATTGCCGGCTAGAGCACGTTGGAGGTGAAGGAAGGGGCGGACGCTTACCTGGTCACTGGTAGGGGCCAGGCTGAGAACTGAATCCGGAATCCTTCCCTGAATCAGACTAATCAGCCGTCGCTGCTGGACCAGGAATGTGGGGGTCCTGCCTGCCTCCCCGAAGTGGGAAGCTGATCCTTGTGGAACGCGGCGTGGTGATTCCCTGGGATGGAATGGCAGCGCTCCAGGGCCCTGCAGACCAGCTCCTGACCTGTAGGTGCCAAGCTACTCCAAGCAGCAGGGAAGCCATTAGGCTCCCGGGAAGGGGACAGCAGTCTTTGGTGGCCCTTCCCTTGGCCCTGGTAGTGGAGGATGTGGAGCTAGATGGAGGTGACCTGCAGATGACATTCTGCATCCCCCTCCTCCAGGAGCTCAGACCTGGTCTTCTCCATGGGCAAGGTGGACCATGCTCAAGTGCTGCCCTGGGGAAGAGGGCTGGGGAGGACCACAGCCATCCCGTCCTAACCTCCTTCCTCCGCCCTCCAGGTTCCATGTATGACGGCCTGGCCGACAATCACAACTACGGCACCACCAGCAGGAGCAGCTACTACTCCAAGTTCCAGGCGGGGAATGGCTCGTGGGGATATCCGGTAAGGAACTGCTTCCACTCCGAAAGACCTGGGGTGTTTGTGGGGTTGGTTTTGGGGTTGAGGGTGGAGAAAACCTGCACTGTTGCTAAAGAGTGAAACAGGCTTTGGTCCATGAGCTGAGGCCCATCAGCTCTGGCTAGATCTGTTTGCTGGGCCGATATTTCATTAGGTGACTCCTGGGCCGATTTGGTATTTTTGAATGTCTCCAATGAGAACATTTTAGAAAAATCATTAAAAAAGAACAGCCAAAAAAGTCCATTTCCCAATACGATCATGGATTTGGGGAAAGTTTGAATTCCTGAGGTCCATTTGTGGACCAGTTTAGATGTTTCTAGGAAAATCCTGAAGGGGAATCTCTCTTCGGTCTGTGCTGTGGCTGAAGAGGGGACTCTAGAAGGTCCCGGTGGCCAGGAGAGCGTGTCCACGGTGGGGACTCCTGCGTGTGAGGCTGAGTGCCAGAGCAGTGTGTTGCTTGAGCTTATAAATCAGACAAATTTGGGTTCAGATTCTAGCTCTGCTACTCACACTGAGCATGTGATTTTGGGCAAACTACTTCAAACTCTGGGCCTCAGTTTCTGCACATGTGAAGTGGATATAACAAAGACTACTTCAGGGAGTTGTTTTCAGGATTAAATGAACTAATGTACAAGAAAAAAACTGATGACAATAATTCTTAAGATTATTTTTTATTAACATGGGTGGGGATTATTCTAGATCCTTTAATCCTGGCTGCCAGTCTTTCTAAGTGATCTCAACCTACTCTACTCACCCATCCATTTACTGAGAAAATATTTGCTGAGCTCTAACTCTGTGCCAAGCCCCGCAGTAGATGCTCTGCATACAACTATACCAGCCAGCGCCGCGGTGGCCTTCTACTCTAAAATCAGGGGTGTTGGGCTAGATGGCACCCAAGGTTTCTCCTAGTCCCAAATTCTATGACTGTCACGAATTTTTGCTGATTCAACATTAGCCTATAGTGTTCTTGGGAATTCTTTTGTGAAGCCCTCAAGACATTGTCAGAGGGGAATAAAGGCTGCTTTTCCCCAGTAAGGTGGGGCTCTGTCTTTGTGGGGCTGCAGGATTTCAGCAGCATTTGCTTTGGGTCACATTGCTGACACATGTCACTCCTGGTTGTCAAATGTCCCGGATTCTGGAAAGGGAGTGGGGGTTGGTTTAGGAATTGGGTTTAGGAGTCGTCTTGATTCCTTCCTTCCTACATTCTTGTTGGGGCTAATTTTGGAGGTTATGTCTTTCCCGCATGTTACAGGTTGGGGACTAACGGGAGGGATGGGCTAGGTTTGCCACAAATTTACTTCCTTTGCTTTTTTTCTGATTCTTGTTGTCAACTGACACCCTTATTGCAACATAGATACAGCTGACAGAGCCCAGTAAGCTGGTAGATCAGGCGCAGATGTGGATAAAGGGCTGGGACACAAAGGTGATGACCAGGCAGACGAGAACATGGCTTAGTAATGCAGTGTAAAGGGATTGGTTGAAACCCAAGGAGGGCAGATCACTGGACCAGCCGTCAGAATGAATAATTATGCTGATAATACAGACGTTTACATGTCTTTACATACATGATGTTAACCACATCAGAGCCTAGAAGGCTTAGGTTCTAGTCCTGGTGCTGCCACTCTCTGGCTCTGTGACTTTAGATAAAACTATTAACCTCTCTGGATCTTAATTTTCTCATCTATAAAATGGGAGTGATGGTACCCGTGTGCCTACTTCACTCAAAAGTCAATGTCATATTACATTAACTGTGAGGTGTTATCACCTGGGTAGTGTAACCATGGAAATTTGTGACCAAGAGCTGTAGAGGAACTCTTTAGGGGGAGATGTTTCTTTAAAAACTCCCCCTGTGGCCCACGTTGAGCACTTTGCTTCTGCTGAATTGGCTCGATCCTCAGCTGTCTCACTAGGTTTAATGCTTCCAAACTGTCCCCACCCCTCCCTGTGCCCACTTCCTGACAACCAGTGAAAATCCCTGTCCTTCTCCACACCCCAAGGCCCAACCCTCCTTGCCCCTTCTTCGCTGGCGGGACTGCAGACATGACTCACACCGGGTAGCTGCTGAGGCACGTCGGAGAGGCTCTGGGAACAGGGAAGAGCCGGGCACACAGCGGGATGGGGCAGAGGGAGGGGGCTGCGTGGAGAGGAAGTGGAGCAATCGATCTTGGAGCCAGACATGTAATCAGCCAAGGACTGGGCAAAACCAAACGGGATCCAGGCTCAGGGAGAAGGAGAGCAGGGGGAGGTAATGAGGCCGGTGGCGTGAGACAGCCCCGCGCCGTGGGATTTTCCCATGGGTGGCACGGCTGGCACGGGACCATCTTACTCCCCCCCGGGAAAGGCAACATGGCGGCAGGGGCCGGGAGCGCGGAGCGGAGGGTGCGGTCGGTCTGCGCGCGGCGTCAGCATGTTCTCAGGGCTCCTGAGAGCGCACGAAGGATGTTTCCTACACATACTCGTAATCACTCCGTCAGCCGGCTTGTATTGAGCAACTGCGGGGCGCGGCAGGGAGCGGGCGCTGCAGACACACGGCCGAAAACAGTCCGCCTTTGCCCTCAGTGAACCTGCGGTCGCCCTGGGAGAAGCGCAGAGGTCGACAGACGGACAGACAGACAGACAGAATACAGGCATTCGTTTCTGCACTGGGGTATCACACCACCCCTGCCAGTGCTCAGAATGTTTCTAGAGCCTCTAGAAATGTTAGAACCGTCTTCAGTGTCTTTTTAGGAGCCAGATTTAAAAGCCAGTATCATCTTTTGTCGTCACGACCTGTGTTTGACCAAAAAGCGGTATTACTCACTTTGAGCATCTCACTCCTCAGATTTGGCTCCAATTGTAAACAGCAAACCTCAAACAACAGAGCTTTGTCACCATGGTGTACCTATTTTATTTAAATATGTAAAGAATCTGCAGGCGATTCCAAAAAGAAAGTTCTAAGAATGTTTAAAAAGCTGTGGTTTCACCTCATAGTTTCAATTTATATTTTATATCAGCAATAGCCTTATAATTTTTAAAGAATCATGCTATTTATAATCTATGATCACTTATCAATTAAGAAGAGTAAATGTAGAGAGTCTTGTCATAAAATAAAACTTAGACTCAGTGTGACCTGAAAAAAACGTCAAGGGGCTTAAGGTAAAGGACTGTGGTCCCAAGGAAGTCGCTGGCCCAGGCGACCCTGCCCCCGCCGGCCACCCCAGCCTCCTCCGCCCTCAGAAACAAGGATCGCAGGTGGCCAGCTTTGGCGCTCAGGGTCCCATGGTCTTCCTCAGGGAGAGGAAGGAGCCCGCGAGGCAAAGGACGGGGCAGTTTTTAGCCCCGCTGCCCGATCTCCCCAGTGGGCGGGGTCAGCTCCGCGGTTCCAGCTCTCAGAGCAGAATCACGGACTAATCGCATGAGGACACTCAGGCCCAGAGAGGAGAAATTACTCATCCAAAGCCACAGCTGGTTGATGCCGTAGCAGACTAGATCCCTGACCTCCTGACTCCTAACCTAGCAGAGTTTCGTTTTCATTACCACAGACATTTGCACCTTTTGTGATGGCCATTTTGCGTGTCTGCAATCTCAGTATTTTAACTCTATAATCGTGTCCTAGGCACTTGCAAGAGACCCACGAGTTCTAATCCCTTCCCTTCCTCCCTCCCTCTGCCCTCCAGCCAGGTCTGCTCTCTCCCAGGGGGTCGGCCCAGCTCAACAGGGGCAGGAGAGGGGCCGTGATTTTCCTTCCTAGACTCGAGCCGGGTTCACTCGGCTATGAGCATTAGCGGGGGTCGGGTAGGGTTAGTGGGTACAATACGACAAAATACAATATTTGGGACACACTTAAAAGCTATTAATTGTTTATATGAAGTTCAGCTATAACTGCATGGCCTGTAGACGTATTTGTTAGACCTGGCAACCCTGGGTCAGGGTCTCCTTGCTCGTTCCTGTAACAAAACGAGACCCCTTTCCGTGCTCCTCTCCCAGGTAGGGAGCCAAGCAGAATTACTCCCGGCTGTGCATTTCTGGTGAGAAAGAGGAGGGGTTTCTTTTGGCCCCTCTTAGTTGCCCTCACGATGGGTCACGCAAATACTTCGCCTGGGTCGGCTGAGACCAGGAAGAGGGGAGCTGGAGCCATCGGAAGGCACAGCCCTTCTCCAACGCCGAAAATAGGCTTTTATCACACGGGTTTGTCCTAGATGAAGCGGAGGCAAGCGGACAGTTTCGATTTCCAGGGAATGCTTCTGGATTAAGATGACAAGCCCCTTTTCTACCAACTCCAGCTCTAAAGGTTTTCCTATTTTCAAATCAAGAAGCACGCCCTGAGCCTTCACTTCTTCTGGGAGTGGAACGTTCTTCGGCCGTGGGTGGGACATCCTGCTCGGATGCCACCTTCGAGGAGAGAACCCACGTACCACTATCCGCCGGGAGGTCTGGAGCAGGGCGTGCCGTGGTGACGCCACGACGAATCACACGGCCACGCTCGGTTACACCCAGCCCAGCACCCCGAGAGTGACAGCCCCCAGGAGTGCGAGGAGGGAGAATTCTGGCTCTGTCTTGGCTTTGTCCTGTTCATTGGCCCCATTTCTCCACTTTAACTCGCGACTCACTAGCGAATTTTTCTCCCAGCCCCTTCCCGGCCGTCCTTGCCTAACCGATAGGTCGGTGTGTGATGACGCTGTCATGACAGAGTCCTGCGGACAACGTGCTAGGGACCCCCACCCTGAGGAGGCCTGATCCCACCCACCCTAGGCCCAAAGCAGCCTGGCTGAGCCTCTGTCACAGATGCGGGGACTGTGCGGGGACTTGATGCAGAAGCATCAAGCTTCGGCAGGGGCCAGGAAATCTGGGCGCAGTGCTCCCCGGGTCGGCGGCTCACCCGCTGTCAGAGTTAGCCATGCTGATGGAGGGTCCACAAGGACGGAGCCGCGGGCCAGGTACAGCAGAGGGGTGCCAGAGAGAAGCGGAGGACGCTTGCCCTGGGAGCGGCAGAGAGAGACGGTCCT